ACCTGTAACACACCCGGTCAACCATTTACGGCCCATGTTCCATGCACTAGCAGTCCCCGCTGTGTAGGTTACGTGAAGTAAGAAAGAAGTAGAAAGTAAATGGAAGATAAAGGGGAATGAAAGTCATTTAAATGCAGGATAACACCAAAGAGTAAGAGAATGATAGAATACGAACTAAAAGCTGGAAGATGGATATGTTCAGGATAAGGGAAAGGTTTTGTTTTGCCACCCAAGAGCGTCTAATTGACGCTCGAAACACTTAACCGTAGGCTAACTGGCTAATCTCTCTGGAAGAGAGTTCCAGCGCTCGATAACTGTACGCGATAACCGAGTTTCCGCTCTGATCCTGTCAGAAAGCGGCTTGCGTAGCTTCATGGGATTACCGCAAAGACAAGTCAACCTAGCCGGGCTAAATAGCTAGCTCAGGTGCTGTGCAACCTTCCGTATTAAAATGCGGTAAGTAAGGATTAGATCTCCTCAAAGTCGTCTGTAGCGCACTGAATACATACCCAAGCTAAGTAGACGCTCGGGTATGTCCGTCTCCGTAACCCGAATTTGGTACCTGCTCATAAAACCCTCCCGAGCTCCATTTTGTCCCGAACAAGGCAGGGCGAGCAAGCCTGGATACAGTATTCCAGCTGGGGTCGAACGAACGCTGAGAATAGCTTCACAAATATGGCTGCAGTTAAGACGCCAAAAGAACGGCGTATTAACCGCAACATTCTGAAATCCCTACTTGCGGCCTTCTTCCAGTTGTTACCGGAATGCAAAGACGAGGAATGGCCGAAGCGTAGGTCTACCTGGTTGGAGACAAGGGGGAGTTCGACCTCACCGAGTACGTAGCTCGAAGGGGGGAAGTTGCTTCTATACGCAGGACGGAACACAGCCTGATTAATGGGCTGTAGCAACAAAGTAATTTAGTCCCAGAGTCTGTCCAGGGCATGCTGTATGGCCTCAGAACCCCCAGGAACATTTACAAACTTCCATAGCTTAAAGTATTCAGCAAACAATAGGGGTGCTACTCTAAGCTCTCCAGGGAGCTTGCTTACGTAGGTGGAAAACAGCATTGTCCCAAGGACCCAACCCTGTGGGACACGGCTAAGGACCGCTTACCTAAAGCATAAGCTGCGATCCACGCGTACACACTGCGCTCTTCCCTGCAAAACCGCAGATACCCAGTGAAGAGCGCGGTCAGATACCCCGTAGGAGCTCAGCTTTTGTGATAGTCTCAAGGGGGTACCTTATCAAAAGTTTTCGAGAGGTATACGGAAAGCATATCCACTACGTGGCCATTGTGCACTGCCTCGGCCCAAGCTTCAAGAGCAACCAACCAATTCGTACGACACGAAAACTCATTCCGGAATCCGTGTTGTGCACTAATGAGTAGATTAAATCTATTCAGCTGACCTTCCAACGAATCTGTCATCAGCTTTCCAAGCAGTTTCACAGCGGGGCGTCAGACTGACTTGCCTATAATGGACCGACAGCCTCGTTTCAGTGAATACAAGTATATCGGGATGATACCCATCTACCAGCAGACCTATCTCACCCATCTTATTCCATAGGCTGCGCACATTGCTTAGCACTATCTGAAGGTATTCATAATGTCCAGCCCTGGGTCGCGCGCTGCCAGTACTGGCACTGGTAGGGCGGAAACAGGCCGCCGGCTGACCAACCGAAAACCCATTAACCGGAGACCTTGTTCGGCGGCCGCTCGCCTGGTTATGAAGCATCTAATGGCCTCTTTAGCTTCAGCCTATCCGCTAATGCAAGGTCTGGCTGAACGCTAACATTAGCGCCCTCCAATGCGAAGGCAAACCGCAACAGCGCGTTGCGTTCCTCCGGGGTGGATAGGCATACAGGAAGTAAGCGCGGTTGAGGGTTTGGGGCGTTAAATGGAAAGTTACCCAACCTAGTCCGTTTCCTGACCATTTCTTCGCAACGGCTGCGTAACCTCCTCCACTTCCGTAACACAAGCGTTACGACAACGCCGCCGTATGTCATATAAATCACGCCTTGTTAAAAGAGGGTTATCTTGAGGACGCACAAATGCACACATCTCCCGCCTCCGACGAAACGTCTTCATTAGGTTCAGCGCCAGGCTTTCCTGGTTCGCTGTTAGCCGCCCCCTTTTGTCATACAGACAAGGCTTCTCCCTGTGAAAACTTTGCGAATGCCAAAGACAGTCGTTTCCACTCTCTAACATTCTTCCTTAAAAGCCGCTGAGAACCGCGCAGGGCAACTGTAACACCGGTACCTGTTAAATATATTCATCAGGCGGATACCCAGCAACATTCAATCGCTTACTATGCACGCACACACACCGCATATATTGGTACTGGCATCTTTTCGGTAAGTTCAAGTTCAAGCGGGACTGGAACGATAGGATAATCCCGTAAGTGTTCCATCTTCGGCGGGTGGTTGAATCAGGAGTTGGCGGACTTTGTAACACTGA